TCTGTTGGAACCTGATGTGTAAATTAAGATGCAGATGTCAAATGATGGGTGAGATTGGAAGACTGGACAATTAAATTTAGCCATGGTGTAAATTGATTCTATTTAAAGCTGTGTTATACTCCTGGCTTTATGTGAGTCTTTAATAAAGCCAGAAAAGAATCAGAACTTTCAAAGTATTTGCATTTTTGCACCACAGGCTATTGGAGTGGAATATCTGGGCTGTTCTGCAGTTGTACATTTGCTTGTTCAACTGTTAAGTCAGTGTGTCCTGTATAGAATCACTTGAGTCCAACCATCATCCGTACTTTACAGAGTTCTCCCCTAACCATATCCACCAACACCACATCCAAACAACCCTTTGTGGAGCTCCAGCCAGGCATTGATTACAGGGACAATCTTCAGAGTCATGAAGAACAACTAAACGTTTACCACCAGTTTAGGCAATTGAACATATGTGTTAACTACAAGCAAAACTTGGCACTGAGCATCTGTAAAAGCCCTACACAATTGTGAAAAGCACCAGTGTGCACTACATTAGAAAACTTGCTAAAGAGCCTCTGTATTTTTCCAGCAGACATTGAGCTATAATCACCATCACTTTATTATCAAAGTGTTTATACAAACTGGCAGTTCTTCACCTCCAAGCTGAGCCATACTGCTTGTATTTTCCAGCTGAAGGAAAACACAAAATACAAGTAAACAACAGGGCATAAAAAGTAACTGTGCTGTGAAATGTGTGTCCACAACCTGCAGCAAAAGGTTGCCAGATCCAAGTATAACATAGTTGGTTTCCTTCGTATGCTCTGAGGAAAAAAAATTGTCTGCCAGAGCAATTCCACTGGGACCCACTGTTTATTAATGGTGTGGAAGAGACAGGGAGCTTTGTGATGGAAACTCCCAACCAGAGAACAAAGGACGGACCAAAGTGTAACAACTGCAAATGAATAAACAGGCCGAGTAGGGGAGGAGTGGCAGTAGGGCTGCTCCAGCACTTGGGATGTCTCAGTTCAGATGGTTCCACAAGGCAACAGCCTTTTTCCCCACTGCAAAGGGTCCCATTGTAGCATTGGCCTTGTGCCTTGAAAGAGTGGTCTGGGATTTAGTAGACCTTAGATATAAAGAGGGTCTCCGATCTCTGGAGGCATAAGTCCTGGCTACATGTTGTGAGACAGGGGAAAAAGTTGCAGCTGTGGCTGCCCCATCTCTGGAAGTGTTCAGGGCCAGGTTGGATGGGGCTCTGAACAACATGGTCTAATGGCAGGGGCATTGTAAGTAGATGATATTTAAGGTCCATCCCTTCCAAGCCAAACCATTCGGTGATTCTATGATTCTCAAAGATTTTCTGTGTAGCTACTAGGGCTAGACGCTTTTAGTATTAAATACCTAAAAATTCAATAGTTGCAATTCTGAGATCAGTGTGCTCAGATGCTCCAAGATTCCACTTTTGTAGTAGGCAGCTCTTGAGAGCTTTTTCACCACATGGCAGAAAATGAGCTGTGGTGGGCTGGGTATATACTTGGGCATCCCAAGCACCTCACTAACTGTGCTGCCTCTGGAACCCAATATTTAAGCTGTCTACAGAAGACCTCTGCTGCAACAGCAACTGTAGATTGGTATGTCTACTCCAAATTTCTGCTGTCCTAATTGCAACAGTATTTGCAACTCTGTCCTTTTCTCCACAGAAACAAAATCACTTCAAGAGCTGTACAGCCCCTGAAGCTGATGTGTCCTATAGCAGTACCCTGTGGGATGACTGGGTTTGGTCTTTGCATAGCCACTGAGTCCTACATGCAGATGTATTTTCAGTTAGAAAGAGCTGGATACAAATTAATTTTAGTTCTTACAAAATTGTCACTGATAAACAACTCTTAAAATTGTTATTTTTCTTTACAACTGTGATCAGTAATTCATCTTCTGTTTAGAATCATAAAATCACAGAATCATTTACATTATGTTTAAAGTAAATGCTATATATTTGAGCCCCTTAGAGAAAACAAATTTTGTACATGCAAGCCAGTGTAGACCATTTAAAATTATATATGAACGGTGAATATCTGAAACATAATATTAATTATTGCAACAATTAATTTGTGTGACTTTCTAAAGACATGTAAGGCCTTTCACTTCACTGATACATGTGAATGAGAGGGACAAGCACATTTTAAGGAAAAATGAAAGTATCTCAGTAGCTGAGTCATCAATGGTCTGACTTGTCTGGAGATACAAACCAGTAGTGACTCCTTGGAGTGAACTGGAGCTGTAAGGCTCAGTACCACCACATGCTCTCAACTAGTCACACAGAAATCAAATCTAAGCCTGAGTGATTTGCCTGTTAAATGAGAAAGCCAAGACAGAGCTCAGAACAGAACAAAAGTTGCCTGGACTGTATGTGGCATTGATCATAAAATAATTTTTTCTTCATCTATCTCTGATAATTGTTTTCAGCTGTTGACTTCACTGCCTGCTTATTTAACACTGTCCTCATACTACTTCCTGCTAGGTCCTGTGCTGCTTGTACTCATGAGAGACAAAAAAAATTAAATAAACCCAGCAATTAGATCACCTAGGTTCATACGAATCTTGGATCTGCAGAGGTGAAAGTCTAGTGTAGTTACCCCAGTCTGTCATTCAGCCTCCCCAGACCGGCTAATTTGAAAGTGATCATTTAGCACTAACCTGGAAACACACGACAGCCTTCAAAATCAAAACAATCTGTTAAGGCAGGTGGGAAATGAAACCAGTCCTAATGGCTATAATGGTTTTCTGTGAAGGCCCCAGACCTCATTTTGTCTCTGATAGCAATATAATCTTTTATAGCGTCTGTGAAGTTTCCTAATAAATAAACGTACCTTGTTCCTGGTGGTTGAAGATGCTGTACAGGTGCATTGTGAAAGTGCATTGACAGACTGTCGGTTTTCAATTCAAGAACTCTTGTCAAGATCATTTTACAAGATATTTCAAAGAAGTATAGAAGAAATAAAAAAGCAATGTAGCTGCAGCAGGTATTTAGTAATAGATTCCCTTGCTGTCTGGGAGCTGTTAGGGATATATGTTGCATCAGTTTTCCTAAATTCTTTAAACTCCATAATTAACTTGCAAATGTGCCTTTAGTTTGGCAAGTGAGGAGGGAATGAAGGAAGGTAGGAAGTATGAAGGACAGGGAAAGTGCAGCTGCTCCAGAATATTTTCTGTAGCTCCTATCTTTCCTCACTTGTTCTCTGTCTTGGTTGTTTTTCCAGAACTGGAAATGGGATTAAAATAAGGAAGAGAGGAGCGAGATGGATTCCTCACCTGCTAAAAATGCAGAGAAACTTCCTTTTTCTCTAGTTTGGTATTTTTACAAGTTCCTACTTCTGTTTAACTTCCTCTGTGGGGAAAAGGCACATGTGACAGAGGGAGAAGCAACGTAGGAAGGCAATGAAGGGCATTAAAATACCCATTTGATTATGGAGAAGTTAAATTGCAGTATCAGGTAGGAAATTTTTCCTGTGTGCAGGATTGCCTCTTAGAGCCTTAAATGCTGCCATTGTGCAAGTCCCTTCTGCATCACCAACATGTAAAATTATCCTCAAAAGAAATCCTTGCGAATTCCTCTTTTTCCTAGTTTGTAGAACTTCTGTAAATATCTGGTCCCATGGGGCAGCAGAACTGTAGCTGACATCAAGCATGAGTAACCCCTTAAAATCATATTAATTGAAAGTTTAAAAATTGTGAATAATCCTGTTAAATGAAAGGAAAACAATGAAAAAAAGTGATTTATCTTAAAATAGTGATGAGTAGATGCATCATTTGAGTAAGAAACCAATGTATCTGAACTAGAAATGTTATAACTTCTAAGATATTGAGTCAGCAGTTCAAAATGAAGTGCCATATCTTTTCATAAAAGGCAAGCAATACTTCTTGCCCAAAATCAATCAGGAATACATATTGTGTACAACTGAAAATAAACTGTGAGGTACAAGTATATGAAATAACATAGAAATAAGAACAGAATTGCCCCCCTCCCCGCAAAGAAAAGAAATTTAATCTATTAGCTTTGGAACACAAGCCCTGTTTTCTTTAGAAAGGATACTGGCATTGCAGTAAGGACATTTTTCCTGCTAGATGGGCCTTCGGAGATCCTTTGCCTCAGTTCATGCAGTAGAACACAGTGAGCCTGTATTCTTATCTTCATATGCAGTTCAAGCTCACTTTTTATTGGTGGCAGCTTCTTTTCCCTTTTCACCAGAAAGATACGTTTCTAATAATACCGCAAATCATCTTATACACTACACCAAAAATTACTTACCTAAAAAACTAGGCATTTTTTCATTTTAGCAACTGGAAACAAATGGTCCTTCACTCATGGTACTATGAGCAGATAACTGGAACGTTCACGCATATGGAGCATTCCTGTTTGCTTATGTTGCTCTGTGACACAGAAGGCCCAAGGAGGTCCAGTGTGGGCTTGTCCTATTGTGAAAGGGACTGCAAGAGATAACACTGCTTTTAGGCAGAGAACACTCTAACCTGTATCATTCCTGGCAGAGATTAGTCAATCCTAGTCATATAGACAAATTCCATGTTACCCCCAAAGTCTGCTCTTGAGCTGGGCTGTCACTGACATTAGGAATGTGTACATAATGTTGGACCAGGGTCTTCTGATCATGTTCACCATGAGCAAACAGAGTTGTCCACCCACCTTCTCACTGAGCGTTCTTTGGTGTAGGGCAGTTATCATGTCCCCCCTCCATTTTTCTTTTTAACATTAAACAATCTCAACTCATTCAGTCTGTAATTAATGACAGTCCCTGCCTCAAGCAGCTTGGTAGTGGGCCCGATCAGCCTGATGTCATTATTTCACCATGACAATTTTCTAACTAACTCCATGTGATATCCCATCTCTCTGACACTATTAAAAACTTTTTATAAAGCCTTTATTATTGTAGTTGCTGAGCTCCCTGCAAACATCACAGTGAGAAAGGGAAGTGCCATTATCCCTACCAAGGCACAGACAGACCATGACCTGCCAAGATCACACAGTGAGTCTTATCAGAGAATTAAATGTAGGTCTCTCAAGTCCTTGGCCAGCTCTAGCTGTATGGTATGTTCATGTGGAGAATTGGGATGCTCCTCAAGTGGCAAGCAGATAGGGAAAGTATGAAATTGTACATGACAATTTTATTATTCTTAATAAAATCTCACTTTTATTTTTAATAAAGGTAAGATTATGAGCTTGATACCCCAGAGTAGTTAAGTTCAACATTTTTTTTTGTTCCTCAGTGCAGTCATTTAATAACCACACAATTACACCTCATTGTTAGTCAGGCATAACTGAGAAGCCGTATCATCCTCGTGTGCCAAGAGACTCACAATTAAATCCTGTTTCATAAGTGCTACGCTAAAGCACTAGCATATGCATAAGGGACTGAAAGTTCACTCAGTGGCTGTCAGTTTTGTTTCCCAGAAATTGCCATTGCGTGATTTGTTTTCTACTAGCACAGATGAGGAGTGTGTTAATGGGTGACCCACCAAAGGCATCTAGAAGTCCTACATGCTCTTCAACAAAGAGAAGCACTCTTGTTTTAGTCTTCAAGCAGTACGGACTGTCAGGAGCACATACATTCTTAGTGCTGCAGACATACGCTAATTCAGCATGAATTTTTTGCATCTGTGCTGTAAATGAATGTTTAAAAGTACCCCTTTGGCACTTCGAAAGTGTAACCATTCTGATAATGAAAATACTAAGACAACATTAATTCTGCTAAATCTGATTTTGCTCTTCACAAATGCAGAGCAGCAAGAAAGGAAAGGAGAATCACCTTTGGTTTTGCTTGAGATTATTTCACTTAGTCCTGGATTAGCTCTTAAATCTTGATTTATTTAACTCACTGAATATTTTCCTGTAATGTGCACAGATTATATTGTAAAATCTCTTCAAAGGTCAATTTAGAACCTTCCAGGCAAATAAACATGAAATAAAAGTAAAGGCATTGGAACTGTAATCTATCTGGGAGCTTAACAAAAGGTGTGCTAGCTTAATTTGAGCCAGGAGAGCTGGATGGGGATTGTGTTTAACCAGAAATGCTGGCAAAAATCTACTTCAGTAGAGCCAGAACCACATGTGGCCATTCCACTTTAATTGTGCTTGTTTTAAAAGATAGGTCTTTAACATTTACCCTCTCCAAGCTTGCTGTCTCTTTATGAACTGAAAATAAAAGCTCCCCAGGGAGTCATAGTAAGACCTCAAGCCTAAAATTTTTCAGCTGAGTCACAAGCAAAACTTGTGCTGAATCTACCCCATGCTTTTTTGTTGTTGTTGTTGGGTTTTTTGTTTGTTTTTTGTAGCCATAAGATTTGTCTCCTCTGCTGGCTTTCCCCCCACAAGTCCTCCCGCTAGTCCTGAACCCAGGGAGTGAGTGTTTTGATACTAAACGTATCTCCTTGGTGAGGTCACAGGCAGTGGCAGCGGTGCTACTGGTTCGAAGGCAGCCTGCTGTAACATACTACAAAACCCAAAAGTATGCTCAACAATAACAAAAGCATTAACTGCTGACCCACGACTTGGTGAAATTCGATCCCACCATTAGGCAAACATGAAAATAAGATCCCAGAGGAAGGAAGGTTCAGATGTTTAAGACCAGAGAAATTGGGTGAGGAACACAGACAATGAGATGGAAGTTGTTACAGACTGAGAAGAGAGAGGGGGAGGTTGCCAGTTCAGCAGTAGGATCTTTTAATACCATGAATTTCAACATGCATTTGACAGTCAGTGGTTTTGCTCCACTTTGGAACAAAGCAAACTACAATTATTTATAATAACGACACCTTTCCCCATTTTATGGACACATGCAGTGTGATATGATTTTGCTTTTTTCCCCAGAACACACTCGCTGCAGATGACCATTCTCCAGAAGACAGCTTCACCCTGAACCCTGAGGACAGAAGAGAGTACCCTGATCTCCAGGCTGCCCACCGGCCATTCCCTAAACAGCGATTCAGGCAGGAAAATGGGCATACGTCCTTGCAAAGAGATGGACCCAGATCTTTCCTCCTTGATCTTCCAAACTTCCCTGACCTATCAAAAGCAGATATCAATGGGCAGAATCCCAACATTCAGGTACAAATTTATGTTAACGTGTGATTTTTCTAATAAGCTGTACAAATTTGTTTTACTGAACCAAGACAACATTAAGCCTAGCTTCCAGGAGAACACCCTGTCTCTATGGAGAGCACCAAAAGAGGATGTATATAATACAGTCTAATGTAATCTTCTTGTTTTAAGTGAATGGACACATTTTGAATTTTTTTTTCTCCATTTCTCTTTGGATAGTGTTGATTGCATAAGTGTGGATATCAGTATAGACCTATTTGTAATACTAAAGCCATCCTCGCTGTTGCCATTTTGGAACACATTATCTTCATTGATATTAAATGGGTATTTTAAATCCTGTTTTCAGTTTTCTGTTGCAAAATGTGTTAACAGATTCCTTTTTGGTGTGCTAATACAAAATGCAAAGATCCCCAAAGGTTATAAGACAATAAGTCTTTAAGCTTCAGCTCAAAATGTGGTCCTCTGTATGGAACTAAGACTTAAAGTTAATTTCTGTAGCAGCTGCCTGGAGTAAAAAAAAAAGTTGTCTGCAAGAAAATTTGTTATATGTTATTCCTAAAACTGTTCTTGGGTTTGGAATGGCCTCTTACAAGCCACTTGCATCTTGAAACTCCAAGGATTAGAGGGAGGAAAATGTGAGTTATTTGTTTTTATTTCAGAGCCTTAAAGCAAAATTGGCATTAATAAGCAGTCTTTTTAAACCAAAACAATAAATTGAAATGTTGTTCTGCCTAAGATGTCCTTTTAAAAACAATACACTAATAGAACTGGTTTTCCGGTTAAATTAATTCCTGGCTTCCTATAGTACCCCAGCCCACAAAAATTACCATCCTTTTGATATGTCTAAGAAGTACGTATGTAAAGATAAAATAGAGCTGTTGGTGAGAGACCAACATGATGGGGTGAGAACAAGCTGTCTCCAAGTTGACGCTGCATTACATCATAGATGGCTTGCAACATTGAGATGCCTAACAGATTTGGAACAAGTGTTGGTCCCATACTTGACAGGCCAAAGTAATAAACATGTTCAACTTGTGATGGCTGAACATACCCTTCATGCTTCCAGAAAGCCTTAGGAAGAGAAGGTAGGGAAGCTATAGTGACCTCGGATTGTGGCATTAGGTAAATAGTGTAACATCATTGAGCAGTATGTGAACCGCAGAGGAGGACAATAGGAAACAAAAAACCTCCTCTGATTTTTAACAGCACTTAATGTTTAGACCCAGGAAATAGATAAATGAGATGGAAACATTTCCCTGGCTTGTCTTTATAGCATCTGCTTCTGCTATGACCTCTTTTTCCACCACCTGATCTTGGAAATGTGTCAGGCAACTTTGTCAGCAGTTTTGCTGGACTTCAAGAACTGGGAAGCCTAGTCCTGTAAACTGGAAAACATTGGGCAACAATAGTCCCAGAGCTCTTGTGCACAAGGATCAGCTCTTTCAGAAACAGGCTTCCTGAGTTCTGCATTTTATTTACCCAGCTTGCTTAGGTGCATAAATAGGGATATACAAAGCTTCTTTAAGTTCCTGGTTGACAGTCTTGCAGCAGGTCAGACTCCATGGAGATAAAACTCCCACTGATTCATCAGCTGTTTGACAGGTGAGAGCAGACTCAACACTCATTTTCTTTTTGCACAGTGGCTTCTGGATCTATAAGTTACATTTCAGGGGATGTTATTTAAAAGTTCTCCTAGGACAGGGAGGCTGGAAAGGAGGAAGAAGCCAATGTGTGTTAAGTCTAGCACAATGGCCAGATTTACTTCTCAAAAGACCCACAACTTCTTTTTCCTTCTACTGGTATAAACCTGCATAGACCTAAAATAACATTTTTAAGGGAAATTATATCTGGAAATTTTAAAAACAGACATAAAACTTTGCAGTTTGAGAGTAACTGCAGTAGCTGCAGTTGAGCAAAAGCTGTTTGGTTTGGGCCATTGTGTTTTCTTCTTTTTTTTGTTTTCTTCTTTTTTGCCATTTTAACAATTCTTTCAATGCCTGGAAGAATTCTGGTTGAGGAGATTACAAAAATTGATCACACATTTCCTTTGGATTTCCTTTATATCTACCTGAAACACAGTTGGGTGAGTTTCAGTTATGATGGACTTGTTAAATGTTTTGGATGAGGTGACAGGTTCCAAGCAGAAACTGTGCAGAGTTAGGTAGGATTCCTGGCCTAAAAACGTGTTTATGTGCCCAGAAAACTGAAGTAAAGCAGTATATGATTAAGTCTGTTGTGAATATTTTCCTTGCTTTGAGTTACAGGATTGGTAGTAATTCATAGGAATGATTTTAAGCCAGAAGTTTTTAATGGTGCCTGTGTGGTCATTTGTTGTCTTTATTATTTTGCATGAGGCCTGTGGATCATGTTCACCAGTCATGCCGTGCTAGTGATGCTGTGTAAGCTTTATTCTCTCCGAGTTCTGCCTTCTCTTAAAAAAATATCTACACAGAACCACATGCTCTAGGAACATACACAGATACAAAGAAACAAGGCCATGTGATCAGCTTTTTAAAAAGAACTGCAGACTTCAAACCAACTCTCCTCTGAGTTCATCAATGGCCGTTTTCTTCACCTCCGTGTCACCTTTGACACAATTTATTAGATGTATTTTTTAGGTAGCATTTATATTTGTCATTTGAAGCTGTTGGTTTTGGTGCATTGAAAAGTAACACATTGTTAGCATTGTCACAAAAGCCTCAGCAGTATCTGCAATACTGAGCTCCAACCAGTACATCTGATCCCCAGTCTAGCACAGCAAGAATTGGAGGGCTCCAGTAGTGCTTTTATCTTATAATGCCTTAAAGGCTTAATAGTTTAAGGTAGTAGCAAAGCAGCTGTCCCTTTCATTACATTAAGACCCAGAAAAGCAGAGGGCACCTCTTCTTTTTCTCAGCCCTTGGGCTGGATCTATATCATGGAGAACTCCCTGCTCCCAAGACTATGTCCCAGGTCAGTACACCTGCTTCCCTGAGATAGCTGCAGTGCCAGAAGCACAGAGCTGGAGAGACTGGTCGAGGCAGAGCAGGGTCCCATGGTTAAACCGTTTCCAATGCCAGGGCTGTTACTACCTCTGCTTCTTAATGTCATGGTGTAATGAGCTTTCTGCAAAGTGCAATGTTCAGAGCTGGGTTTCAAACCAGATTTTTAATTCTGAGATTCAGTTAGGCTCATCGGAGATTTCAACTAGGATTGACAACATTGAATACAAATTTCAGGCTTTGAGTCACATTGTCTTCTTTGCTTCCGGGAAGTTTTAGGGGTCCTTTTCTTCAAGTCCAGAAAACTATTCTAAGTGAGATGTCATGCCATAACTGGAAGTAAATTGGTGTCACTACTGATAAAATTTTAACTGAAGGTTAACTGAAGGTGTAAAATTAAATTTACCATTGCAATATCTGATAATTAACTCATTCTGCTATTACAGTTACCTCATTGCTGACTTGCACACATCCACATTTACAGATCTGAAAGTTCTGCACTGAAAATTTGCATCAGGTGCCTGAAGGAAACAGGATAGAAATGTCATAGAACCCACTGCTTGCACAATATTGCACACGTAGTTCTTCCTGCAACATAATCTTCCAGTTGCTTAGGATAATGTTTACACCAATAAAGTGAATTCAGGAACATTATTTCAGTAAACAGGACGAAGTACACAGAACTTTTTGTGCAGTCCAACAGGCAGGGATAATATTTATCTTCTGTATATTTTTGGCCAGGAAAAAATTGGACGTTGGTGTCTCAAGAAGACATCTGTGCTTGATACATTTGTTTCATTAGGAATTGATTGCAAATCTGTTCTTTTAATATACCTGTGCCAATTGTTTTAACAATTTTTAGAGGAACATCCTTATTTATAGCTCATGCAGCTGTAAAAGTGGCTTCATTTTAGGTTTGAATATTTCTGAACATGGTTGTGGATTTATACAAGAACCATGTTACCATAGACAGTTTGGGAAGCTTGAGAAAAAAAAATAAATAATCTTTACAGTTTTGATAATCACTGGAAGAAGAAAACAGAGAAAAATGAAGTCTTTAAAACAGTCTCCAAGATAGAAATACTAAACCAGGTGTATTTTTAAATTTTTGAGAAACATGTTTTTGTTCAAGTAGTTACACAGCATGAAAGCTTTTTCAGAGCTACTTTAAGTACTCTTTTTAAATGACTTCAGTTCTAGATCTGATTTCTTTTTTCCTTTTTATAAACAAACCCAAGTGTAGAAACCAATCAAACAATATACATGTTTATGTTTGTATGTATGTCTTGTATAGGTATACATACATATAGTCATGAGCCAATGTTAAGTCTGTCTGTAAGTACTGGGAAGAATTCGGTGAATGCTGATTTTTCAAAATTTTAGACTGGGATGGGGGAACAATTGCTCACTGGAAGCAGCAGCCTCTTCTCACACCTCTGCCCTAACTTTTGGGTCACACCGTGAGGGGATTACTGGGTCTACTCAGTTATTTCCTCCCTGCCTCTGGAAGGTCCATTAGAGTTAAATGGGGCTGGGCAGAGCATAGCTGAGCGCCTGGAAACAAACTGAACTAGAGTCGACTAAAGCTGTCTTGTTTTTCATTTCCAAGAGTGGCTGTTCAGACAACCTTTGGTAGAATTTCTTTCGCTCTGTGGTGACATGTTAAACAAGCAACTTGTTAATCAAAGCTTAAAACAGCAGAGGGAGGGATATAAGTGTGTGTCAGACTACAACACTGGATTTTGCTTTTGTTATGCCCATTTTTTAAAAAAGGCTGTGTGTTGGAAAACTCATTTTAAAGGCCTTTGTAATAAGACTTTTCAGTAGCAAAAACAGGATAAAGAGGGATATCTGATTGCACAGAAATGCAAATGTCTTGAAATCAAGTTTGTGGCAGTGCTGTCGGAGATCTGATGAGGCCTTATGACCCTGGATGCTTGTGTTACGCCTGTCTCTCCCAACATAGCTCTTAGCTCTACAGACACAAACCTTCTTTTACTTAAACTGACTTTGCATCCTGAGTAAATATTTTAAATCAAATCCCTATGGTTCTTCAAACTGTATCTGGCTGAAATACTGCAAGTTCCTCTTGATTCACCATCATATACTTAAAGATTACCAAAGCAAATGGAATTATTATCCAGTGCCCCCTGCCTTTTTTTATGAGACAGTTTTGTTTGTTTGCGTTTTTGTTTTGGCCTGGTTTTCTGTTGTTTGTTGTTTTATTTTTCACTTTGATTACAGAGCTAATGTGGTCTTACAAATGCTTGCTACTGAAGTACTAGGGTCATACTAATTTTCACTTGGGCAGTACTAAAGCCCCACGACTGGCCAGCAGCACAGTGTTACCCGCTCAGTAACGCTATTTCCTTTCACTTATTGTGAAAACTCTGTTTTGCTTGGGTAAATGCAACAATTTTGAATCCCTGAACTAACCCTGATGTTTTCGAACTTATGAAATCCATTTTAATTCTTGGTCTGTAGAAGATGAGGTTTAATGAAGTAATCGTTCCAATTCCATATTTAGTCTGGGAGTAAAATCTCTCATGTGTAAAGATGCTATTAGGCTGACAACTGCACTTTCCCTCACTCTTGCTCTTTCTCCCAGTGGAGCTTCTTAGTAGCCTCAAAGTTGTTTCATTTCAATGACTTGATCTATGGTCAAATGCAAAGCATGAAGTAGATGCAAAATCTCCTTTCTCCAAAAAAGGATGCATGGTCATTGTCTTGTCTGTGAAGCTGTGTCTGAAGCTACGAAGCTACATCAGCAGTTCTGGTTTGTTTGCTATGGCACACTCCTCTGTGGGTCACAGGTAGCTGAAAAAACATGGATATTCTTTTCCTTTTCTTGTGTGTGTCTTGGGATTTTACTAATGACAATTGTATAAAATTAAACCTTTTATCCAAAATGAAAACCCTTAGAGCTATGTAAATGGCTTTTAGCATAATAGTACATTGTTCTGGTTTTCCTGGTGTTAAACAACCTGATGACGCATCAGAGCATTTAAGATTTATCTGTGGCTACATTATGCTTGCATGACACAAAGAGCCAAGGTTTCTGATGGCTAGGTCCTATTTCTACATTAATAGCCATATGCATACACAGTATTTTCCCAAGAGTTTCATAATTACATATTGTTTAGCACAAAAAAGGAGCAATCAAATGTGGTCCCTGCACAGAATTATATTTACATTCATTATGTGTGAGAGGAGAATTGGGCAGGAAACTTTGAATCTCGGCTTTGGGCTTCTGTTGAAACCATAAACAGGTTCTGTACCATTATGATCTCCAGCACAGAAAAGAAGACCTACTTCAGAGGGCTTAGCAGCAAGTGACCTGCTCAGCGATGGCTGAAGGAGCAGCTGACTCCTCACCACAGAGTGTAGTTGCAGGGACCGGTGACAGCCCAGACCGGTCTGCAGTGGCGCTGCTGGTGCTGCGAGGAGGCTGTGCCAGGGGCCCGGCTGAGCTGCCGCTAGAGGGCAAGGCAGGTGCAGACCTGGCTGGGGCCCTGGGCTCTGCCACCACCACCATCTCATCCGTGGACTTGCTTAGCCCTGTCTTGAGTCGGCCCGAGTCCTTAGAACGGGCTCTCAGGCTAGTGTGCTTCATACTTGCCTCAAATGCGGCCCCCGCCTAATTAGCCTAGCAGATTTGGTTTTATTTTTCCAGGTCATATATGTTTGGGTTTAAGCATCTTTTCTCCATAAGGCAGAAAATTTTGCAGCAAACGTTTTAGGCACAGCATGGGTTATTATTTTGTGCAGGATTTTTCCTAGCCTTTGTTCCAAGGTCTGATTCAGCAGAGGTAGCAGAAGGAATCACTCAGCCACTGCATATCTCTGAACTCAGTAATCTGCATATGGTTTACAGCATGCAAACCCTACAGTATTGCACAGCCCCTCCTCAAGGCAACAACACTCATTTGTCTTTGCTGTGTAGAAAGTTTCCCACTGACTGGGAGGAGATAGTGATGGACAGGCTGGTCTGTTTTGAATCCCACAGGTTACCATTGAAGTGGTGGATGGCCCCGACACTGAGACAGAGAAAGATCTGCAGAAAGAAAGCAGCAAGCCTAGCTGGCCAGTCCCGTCACCTGACTGGAGAAACTGGTGGCAGAGGTCTTCCACCTTGACTCGCATGAGCAGTGGTGACCAGGACTACAAGTATGATAGCACTACTGAGGACAGCAACTTCCTAAACCCTCTCGGTGGGTGGGATAGTCATGCACCCAGTCACCGGACATTTGAGTCCAAGGAGCAGCCAGAGTATGGTGAGTTTGCATTCCAGGCCTCTTATGGGCATCTTGGGATTGTAAAAACGAGTTTGGGGGAAATGAGAATGGTGAGGCATCGCTGAAAGTAGGCCAAGCAAAACAGAATTTTTCAACATGTGGCTTTTGTTCATCAGCTTTTAAATACAAATCTGTGCAGATGCACAAGCTGTACTGTGGTAGCTGCATTCCTCTAGTAAGTCTATAATCTTGAAAATCATACCAGTTATCCCATAAGAGGGCCTTTTTTTAGTCCTAAGTGCACTTTTTTAAAAGCAAAGGAAACAAGGTTTCATATTTATTTTTAGAGTAAGGATAAGTACAAATTTAGAATCATGTGGTGGTTTGGGAACCAAAAATACAATTATTGGATAAATAAGCAAGATCTAAAACCTGGTAGTATTTGGTGGATAAACAAGTAAGACGAATTATGTTGGTGCATGTGTGGGGAGTGGCATGTGCAGCAGGAACATTGTGTATTTGCGTGTGTAATTCTCTTCCAGATGTGTCATGGCGAAAACAATTGTTTTCAGCTTGTTGTATGAAACAGTTGCAGAAACTAGAAACAGAGAGGAGCTACAGTTACTCACTGCCCCAAGAGGCTGTAACTCTCCACATGGGAATGACTCAAGGGAGGTGAACTAGGATGTAGCTCAGAGCCTCCTAGTTTTAAGTTGGGTGTAAATACAGAAGAGTTTTAGTCAGAGCAGGGGTACACAGTCACAATACTGCTACTCTCACGCTTCTGTTGCATTCTCCAGATACTGCAGAGTTGCCATTGTGCACTGATTCAGTCTTATTTTTCTCTTCTTTTGGTTAACTTTAAGTCCTAGAGCCTTAATAATTGAGAGAGGCTTTTTGTGGAATGGTATATTTATATGTATGTATTAAATTTTGTAGCAAGAAGATTAAAGTCTACCCCTTCTTTTTGCACCTGCATTTATTTGTCAGCACACTACATTGCCAAGAATTCATATAATAGGTAGTTATTCACTTAAGTAAAATAAAATTGTTGTCACAAATAATTGTAGAAAAAAAACAGTATGAATTACAGATAAAAAAATAGGAAGAACAGGTTGAGCTCCAGCTAAAAATCTAATATATATATGCAAATATAGATACAGTTGTATAGATACATAGTAGATACTGTGTGTTTCATAGTGCAGTATAAACATTAGGTAGTTTAGGCCTAAAAATTATCCACATACCAGAGCACCCCACTAACTGGAAAAGACTCCTGGCCTGCTGACTAACCTAAAACGTCACGTGCCATTGGTCTTGGCCAGGAGCATGTATCCACAGATCCTGCCCACATAGGGCTTTTATGCTCATTCCACTCATGGCCTGCTCACACATTTAATAGCTCTGTCTCCCTCATCCTGCCTCTGCCAAAAAGCACTGCACAGCTTTGCTTGCCCTTCCTGGGCCTCCCAGGTTGGGCTCTCTGACAAGCATCGCACCTGCTCACTTTCCCTCTTCCTCAGCAGGCAAGTGGAGAAAAAAATTCAGAGCTGGAAAAGAGCTGAGAGGGAGAGCAAGACCAGGGAGAGAGGGCAGATCATGTTTTCCCAAGACATTTTATGCCTCTTCAGGGTGCTGAAGTGCTCGTATGTTGGTAGATGCCAGAATTGCAGGTCTTTGCATACAGGCAGTATGTAGCAAGGGCAATGGTCCTACCCATCACACCATGGACACCTGATTCAAGTGTGGTAGCTTCCTGACCAGCAGCAGTATAAGTGAAAAAAGTGTAAAACCACATAAGGTCCCTGCCACGAGGAACTCACATCTAGGCAGCGTGCTACAAGTGAGATGTGAGATATATAACCTTCCCATACTCCTGGCAATAAATGTTTAATAGCACCCCACAGAGTTGTCGTCAGTCATTACATATGGTACAAATCAAGTTACGTGTTCTACTAACCAGCTCAGGAAGCCCACAGACAGCAGGGCAGTAGGGGGGAGTGGGAATCGCGTGTAGCACAGGGGCCAGTGCAGGCAGGGATCCGTCCCTGTGTCTTGTCTGGTACCTACATGGTCAGCCTATAGCTATTGGGCAGAGCTGGAGTCACTAAGCCCAGTTTTGCTTTGCTACCTGTCCTGGCTTAACTCAAATTATCAAAGGCTGCAAGTTATGATTAAAGGCCCATTAAACATCTCCTGTAGGCTGCAGAGAAATCCAGTAAGCAAGACATTCCCTAGCAAGAGACAACACAGATCTGGGGAGACCAGTGGGAAGGCAAGAAAACTGGGATTGGTTCATGGACTCAATTTAATGGCGTTCACAAGGTGGTATGTGCAACAGTTAATTCAGCAAATAAAGGAGATGGGTTCTAAGGGGTTTAGATACTTACACTGACACTGAGCCAAGGTGGTGCAGACTTGGTATCGCTTGCCTGGGCCTCTCTACCAGAAAAGAATAAAGTCATGT